ATCCACCATAAGATCCAAATCCTTGGGTTCTCTATTTTAAGGACACTAATTATCCTTACGTTGCATCATCTTTGTTTTCCATAACTATGGAACTATTAGCATCTCTCTAAATAATTCATCACTTTGTTTTTTTTTAATTAGTATTTTATTTTATTATCTTTTTTCTATGTCATTAATATTTATTTTTAATAGTATATATTCTGATTCTTGCAGTTTATAATTTACTATCAGTTCTGTAATGGTATGATTTGGTCTTCAATTTGTTGTCTTTGGTCTGGGATCTAAAAGGTTGTGAGGAAATGACTTACGCCTCTTAATTTTCTTTTCTTCTATGTATATTTTTTCATGATCTCTCTCTCTCTCTCTCTGTCTCTTCCTCGGCATGCAGTTTCTTTTCCCTTTATTTATGCTCATACTTGCATCACTCTCATCTCTAGATGTTATGTTTGCTATAATAAATGAAATTCTCTCTTCTCAATCTAAGATTACTTTGATGTCTCCTCTGAACTACAATTTGAGGCTAATGTACCACATTCTATCTACTCTTCAATGCTCTAGAAGAGATTGGAGTAAGGAATACAGTTTAAGGAGATGAACAATCTTTATTAGCATACTTAGGCTCTGCTCTTTCTCTTAGGATTTTGCTAAATCTGTCATTCCAGAACTCACTTTGCTTACCTAAAGGTATATCTCATTCCATTGGGGGATACTCTCAGCTTGTATTATTTCCCAATTGTGTTCCAGAATCTCTATCTCTTTTAAGATGCAGACCCTTTTACACTCATTTCTCCACAGCAGGTGTTTCCACCACTCTGTTCAGAACAATAAAAAGATCAGATTTTTTTTTTTTTTTCAGTCAGGATCTTGCTCTGTTGCCCAGGCTGGAGTGCAGTACAGTGGTGCAATCTCAGCTCACTACAATCTCTGCCTCCTGGGTCCAAACAATTCTCCTGTCTCACCACCAGAGTAGCTGGGACTACAGGCATGTGCTACCATGCCCAGCTAGGTTTCATATGTTTAGTAGAGATGGGGTTTCACCATGTTGGCCAAGCTGGTCTCAAACTCCCGACCTCAAGTGATTCACCCTCATCATCGTCCCAAAGTGCTGCGATTATAGGTGTGAGCCACCATGCCCAGCCAAAAAGATCAGCATTTTAATTCCATTTGTCATTTTCTAGATTTTGAAATTTAAATTAGAAATCTGAGGTTTTTGTTGACTAGCCAGTAGGACAGTTAGGGTTAGGAGCTGAGCCATGTTGCTTTTCTGCTTCACTCCACAATCCTCATCTTTTCTTGGCACCATGTTTTGAAGTTTGTTGCATTATATTATGCCTCTGAGGTTACTGATAGTGACTTTTAAGGGTTTTTAAAATTCTTTCCAATTTTGTAGGTATTATGGGAGGGCAACTTAGTGCAGCCTTAATGAAATTGAATAATGCCTCCTGTCCATGGTACTGGACTTGTATTGCCTACTTGACCACCAGTGATCCAAGACCAAGACACTTTATTCTGCCACTGGTCAAACACTGAGTTCATGATAGGGTGTTGAAACAGCCCACTATGGCATGAAAAAGGACAAACGTATCCTTGAAGTGTCCCCTAAATGTATCTTGTTGTTTAGTATGGGAGATATTATTTTAACCCTTTACATCTTTCACTAAAAACTTACCTCTTTCAGGATCTGAGCTCCACAGAAGTCAATGTTCTAATTAGAAAATAGTAGCTAATCTCCCCAAATGCTAATAAATGAGGGTTGTGATTTATCTAGCAACAGGGAAACAGCTCAGCATTAACAATTAAAAGGTCTGTAGAGGACACAGCTTTTTTTTCCTTACTCTTCCCCTTAGCTGATTGAGTTCAGCCCTATGCTATAAATAGCCCTTCTAATTAATGGCTATCTGTTTGAAAATCAGTTATCAGGGCCACAGTTTAGGAGCCTTTACCTTTGAAATTCATAGAGACTATTTCGTTTCTCAGTAATAAGGGAATGATAATATGAGTTCAAAGTTAAACCTACCTACCCACAAATACCAACCCACATCATAGCCTACCAACACATTCTTCAATCTTCCTGATAATGGATACAGATTTTTAAATAATCACTCAAACTGCAAAGAGAAGTACTGAACTTTAATATAGCCAGAATGCTTGGCTAAAGCCTGTTGCACTCCAGTCATTTCATGAATCTATAAGCTAAAGTCAAAATTTATATCAAAGGTATGAGTTTGCAATTAGTTGAACAAGGTCTTTTAGAGACCCCCAAAGAGTTCATTTATTTCCTACATTGAACAAATTAACTGTGTGGCTACTAAAGTTCTTCTTCACTTTAACCTGACTGGACACAGAGTCAAAGGGGGAAAATAGCATGTTTAAACCAAATTGAATAGCTATCTTCTAGACAACACTCCCCAGAAGGACCCTCCTTGGGAAATGCCACTCAATGCCAGAGTAAATCTCCCATTTTGGTGAAGGGCTTGTCATTTGCAGTAAAAGATACTTGCACACCTTGAATGTTTTCTTCTAGCATTTTTTATTTCATCCTACTTACATAACAGCCATGCGGAGCTTGTAGCAGGTCCCAGAGCCTGCCATATTGTTTCATGATACTAAGCATTTATTAAAACTGTTTCCACTACGTAGATGACCTTTTCTGGCCAGCTTGCATGTCATCTCCTCTATTAGGCCCCCAACATCACCACCACCCAGCCTCCAACCTGACTGATAAGTCCCTTCCTCAGGTTCTCACTCTACCTGTACATTTTTCTGTCTTAATACCAGTAATCTTTACTTCTACTTGATTGATTTCTTATCCATCTCTCTCTAGCCAGAAGGTCTTATTCTTACTCAAATGTACAATTCTTGTATGCTTGTTGACTCTGCAAGTGATATTGAACAACTGCTGAGCACCTACTGTTTGCTAATGCTTGGTTAAATTCAGAAAGACAGAGATTTTTTAATTTGTTCTCAATTTTTAAAAAATTTGTTCTAATAAACCCATGGGGAAGACAGACTTCTCTACAACTAGACACAGCAAGCCAAAAAGAGGGGTCTAGGCAGGTGATGAGGCTTAGCTGTTAGTTAGTGAGGCAGCAAACACATTAAAGCTCACCATTATTTAATGTCTGGTCTATGATTTTCATAATCAAAACACACATGCTTCAATGTTTTACACTGCTTACTAATGTCTTTGCATTATAGCTCAGACCTGTGCTTCTAAACTAATGTGCACACAAATCACCCAGTGATCTTGTTAAAATGCAAATTCTTATTCTGGAGTTCTGGAAGGGGCTTGAGATTCTGCATTTCTAACGAGCTCCCAGGGAATGCTGATACTGCTGATCCATGAATGCCTCAAGTACCAAGGCTCTACACCATTGTAATGTCAATGTAAACACTGTTGAAGTGGCACCAGTTTTGGGAAAAGCTTCTGGTCTCCCTACCTAGACTCTTCTGACTGTAATTAAACATGATCAACGTTACACCAAGAGAGGTAGATTCAGCAGTGCCCAGAAAAAAACTGGCAAGATGTCTCGGCATTATTACCTCTTGACCTTTGTTTTATTATCTAAACATCAAAGGTCTTTGCTCCTGTACTTTAGGTCTACTGCTACCAGATGTGTGTAGTAAGTTTTTCCAAGATATTCAAGATTGTCTTTTTCTGCTTAAGTCTCTTCCCATATATAAACCATAATATCCCAGGCTCTTTATGGAAATAGAAATACCTTCTAACAAAACTATAAAACTTTAATCAGTTTAAACAATCGTAAAGAGAATATTTAAGTGAATTTTACAAAAGAAAAAAAAAAAAAGCAAACTCTGGGCCAGGCATGGTGACTCAGACCTGTAATTTCAACTCTTTGGGAGGCCAAGGCAGAGAATCACTTGAGCCCAAAAGCTCAAGACCAGCCTGGGCAACGTAAGGAGACCCTAGCTCTATGAAAACAATTTTTTTTTTTTTTTTTTTTTGAGACGGAGTTTCGCTCTTGTTACCCAGGCTGGAGTGCAATGGTGCGATCTCGGCTCACTGCAACCTCTGCCTCCTGGGTTCAGGCAATTCTCCTGCCTCAGCCTCCTGAGTAGCTGGGATTACAAGCACATGCCACCATGCCCAGCTAATTTTTTGTATTTTTAGTGGAGACGGGCTTTCACCATGTTGACCAGGATGGCCTCGATCTCTTGACCTCGTGATCCACCCGCCTCGGCCTCCCAAAGTGCTGGGATTACAGGCTTGAGCCACCGCGCCCGGCCAACAATTTTTTTTTTTAATTAGTTGAGCATGCACTTGTAGTCCTAGTCACTCTGGAGGCTGAAGCAGGAGGATTGCTTGAGCCTGAGAGTTCGAGGCTGCAGTGAGCCACGATCATGCATTCCAGCCTGCATGACAGATTGAGATCTTATCTCAAAAAAAGAAAGAAAGAAAGAAAGAAAGAAACAAAAACAGAAAACCTCTGTAAGCATCCTATGGGAATATACTTTCTTAACTCTTAATAATTCCACGAAATCCATTAACTTTTCAATTCATTAGAGTCTGCCACTCAAAATGAAAGTCAAAATCCATTAGACCACTAATTTCTCATTTGTGAGTTTTGAATTCTCCTTCCACGAAGACAAGAGCCCTACTTCAGCTTTTATCTTTTGTATTTCTTCCTCTCTTCTCCACACATTCTTGAGCAGGATTCTAGCCCAAGCCAAGTGTTCTGTGCATGTCTTCTTCCAATCAGGTAGCTGTCAGAACTCCTCCTATCTGCTGTTCAACTTTGCCTCGCTATAATAATATGCTATTAAACAGGCAGTCTTGGTTATGTGGTCTCCTCTTGTACACTTAGTTTTTGCATCATTTTTTCCTGACAACATAATGGTAAGGAGAACAGAAGAGGAACTCTTTTCACTGGGCAGAACTTAGAGAAGGCACTGGAAGCCACAGCTTGTGCCATGCATAGTCTGGAGTGGACAAACTTAAATGAACTTTCTTCCTTCTCACTTCTCATGGACTCATTTAGGTGAATGCCAAAGATGACGAAGGTGTCGTTGTTGGATCCTGGGACAATGTCTATGCCTATGGCGTTCCCCCATCAGCGTGGACTGGAAGTGTTGACATTCTACTGGAATACCGGAGCTCTGAGAATCCAGTCCGATATGGCCAATGCTGGGTTTTTGCTGGTGTCTTTAACACATGTAAGTATCCCATTGAGTAATTTCTTTTTAATGTAAAGGAAATTTCACTTTAAGACATTTTATCTATAACCTAAGAGAGACGTAGCAGCCTCTGTTGGCACTATGGAATTCATGCGTGAGTACTCTAGGATGTAGGCAATGCATAATTAAATTGTAGTGGGCCAAATATGCTGATGGTTTCTCTTTGACTGCAGAATCTTTTTAGAAAGAATGATAGACTATTTCCTGTGTAATCCATCATTTAATACCCAAAGAAATAGAGGGTTACAGTAAGAATACAGGGAAAAAAGCTGTTTTCTTTTCAGCCAGCACATTTAAAAAAAACTAAAACAGTAAAAACTAAAATAATAAATAAGGAAAGATATATACTGCTATTTGTTACTGAGAAGTTGTATAAATATGCGTATATGTTTATTATTGAGAATTTCATAAATATATGCACTAAATTTTTATCCCAGTTATGGAAGGTATTATAGCAGGTGGTCTTGTATTCATTTTTACACGTGTCTCAATGCCCCTGAGCAATTAGAGATCAGAACGTAATGAACGGTCTTTCCCTCTCCAGTTTCCCCTCTGGCTTTTAGTCGGCCCAACATCCAATCTGTAGAGGAAAGCATATGAGAATAGAATTATTCTCTCCAGTGTCATGTATCATTTTTCAAAGTGGCATTTGCCTCTCTAGACCCAGATAATATCACAATTAATTCGGTGAATATTTTTTAAAATACATTTGTTTCAGTATGTCTTCAACATTGGTAATGATTTTCATTCACAAGCCATTTCTACAACCTTGGAGAAACATTAAGCTCAAGTTGGGGTGTCCTTTCTGCCTGCTCATTAATAAAGAATGTTTTACCTAGTTAACATTTTTAAAATCAAAAGCAAAGGGAGGGGCTGGAGGCTGGAGGGAAGCCATTTTAAAAAATGATTACAAAACCTAGTTGTTTTACCTCAAAGTCACAACAGTCTAAGGAAAAAAAAAAAGAGTCTTGAGATTTTTATTTGTTTGTTTGTTTTCCCATAGTATTGAATGGGATAAGATGATTTTCTTAGCCATTTTAATATAGCCCAGGGCAGAAGGAATATATATTTCTTGGGAGCAATCAAAATAAAAAATCTAGTCCCCTAGAAGCACTTGTCACTGAAGTTCCAGATAGAAGCCTGTACTTCATAGTAGGTTAAAGGTTGGAGGTCATCCCCCTCCCTCAAAGCTCCCAAGTCAAGACTAAGTAGAAGACGCCCAACAGAAGAGGCAACCACTCTTGTGAAATTATCTTAGAAAAACAGAAAGGACCCAAGTCCTCCCATGCCTACAATTTCACTATCCAGCGTAATTCCTTCATGCTCACAGTCAGATAAAATAATGAACACTGGCCAGGTGCGGTGGCTCATGCCGGTAATCCCAGCACTTTGGGAGGCTGAGGCAGGTGGATAATCTGAGGTCAGGAGTTCGAGACTAGCCTGACCAACATAGTGAAATCCTATCTCTACTAAAAAAAAAATATATATATATATATATATATATATATATATATATATATATATATTAGCCGGGTATGGTGGCTGGCACCTGTAATCCCAGCTACTCAGGAGGAGACTGAGGCAGGAGAATCACTTGAACCCAGGAGATGGAAGTTACAGTGAGCCGAGATCACACCATTGCACTCCAGCCTGGGCAACAAGAGTGAAATTCTCTTAAAAAAAAAAAAAGTAGTGAACACCTTACATCCATTCATGTCTTTGGCATAAAAAGGTTATCCAATCTATGCTGGAAAGCAAACTTTGTTGATAAATTAAGAAAAAGGCAGAAACACACTGTGAGGAAACAGTGAGAGTAAACTTGAAGATGGAAATGGGGCGGGAGGAACAGGTACCCTCATGTCAAGCCTCACGTTCTTGAAATTATGAGTAAGGCAGACTCTTGACCAAGACGTGATCTGGATAATGTGAATTAATGTTCAGCCAGAAACAGAATGAAAGTGGCAATCGTTTTATTGGTAAGACCCTGGGTGAATAGGGCTGCAAATCAAGAGGGGAAGACGGGAATGGGAGGCCTGTGGCAGCTGCCCCTGTTGTTTGGGGCATTAAGATCGAGTCCTTTAAGGAGGGGGACCCTTGAGTGTCCACCAGACTCCAGTTTGGACTTCCAAGGTTGTTCTGTTGAAGGAGGTGGGTAGTCTTTCGTTAAAAATGTTAAGCTATTCTGAAGGAGAAAATAAAACGGCAAGCCAAGTCATTAATCTTAAAATTGTCAGCTGAATTATTTTCAATGAGCCCTGATGTCTGGCATCCTGGGAGCCAGGGAGGGCATTTGGATTAAGTTTAATCAATAGGTACATATGGCAAGAAAGGTATCCAAGTAATTTATTACCTAACAATTAAAATTAATCTGTGGTGTCACCCTCCAATGCATGTCACAAGAGCAAATTCTGGCCAGGAGAGCAAACTCCATCAAGGACCTGCTCCATAGATTCCTAACTTCCTATTAGTGGGTTTGTGAAATTGTATTTTCAGGAATATAGTCCCATTCACCGGACTAAAATAATACTACATTGATGATCATATGCTTAGAAAAAAAACAATGAGAACCCTGTTGGGTTTCTACTCTAGCTGGCTTCATTTGATGCCAGCTACAGTTCTGAAGGATCACACAGCAAGATTTCTCTCCACCGTCCCCTTTGCCAGCATAGAACACTTGAGGACAACATGTTCAAAGGACTTTTCACGTTGGTCATGAAGAAAGTCCCCTACGAGAATGGGTTTAATCACTCTGTGTTTATTAAATGCTGGTGATGTGTTTAGCTATGGTCTGTCCTTTCCTGTAGTTTTACGATGTCTTGGAATACCAGCAAGAGTTATTACCAATTATTTCTCGGCCCACGATAATGATGCCAATTTGCAAATGGACATCTTCCTGGAAGAAGATGGGAACGTAAATTCCACACTCACCAAGGATTCCGTGTGGTAAGTTTGATTGACAGCGACATTGGCTGTTATCACATTATAGTAATGTTACACATTTACCACAAGATAGACTCGATCTGATGTTTCTTTCTTTTCTATTCTGAGGACCTTTCAATAGCATAGGCAGAAAAGTCTGATTGCCAAAGAATCCTTTAGCAAATGAATTAGAAATGTTACTGAAGAGACAGTTTGGGTTCCTAGTGATAAAAATCAATCATTCCTTATAATAGCAACCATCAAAAAAAGGTCATGATTTTAGCTACTGCATATGCCTATATTAGTTCCTCTCTACCTCGATATATTAATAGTACAGTTAATAGCAGAAGTATTGGAGCCAAGCGTTCTCTGGGTCAGTGCCCTGGGAGTAACATAGCTAACATTTATTAAGCACTTACTGTGTACCAGTCTTTGTGTATGCATGATCTCATCCAATCCTTTTTAGTTGTATCAGGTGGATGTTATTAATATCCCCATTTACAGATGAAGAAACTGAGGCCCAAAAAGGCTTGCTCAAGGTCACACATCTGGTGAACTAGGAATAAACCCAAGTACTTCTGACCCTTAACCACAATCTTTTAAATAACTTCATCAGAATAGGATTGCTTTTTGAATTTAAAGATGAGATTCTCCTTGATTTTACTGTCACCTTTCACTGAGATATAGAAATGGGAGTAAAGCTGAAATTGTTTCCAAATACCAACCGTGGGGTTCTCTCACTGCTCTGAGCAGCTTTATCACAAGCTGGCTAGAGGAAGCTTAAGATCCTGGAGAAATTCCATTTGTCCTTGAGATCCCCAAGTCCAAATCAATACACTAAAAAGAAAGGAAAAAAATATCCTAAGTTTAAATAGAATTTTTATCAAGGTCTGTGTGGGAGGAAATTGGGGCATAATTTCCTCTGTGGTCAGGCAATGAGCTAGGTAGAATTTCCAAGCCCAAAATGAGTCTCACTCACAAATAATAAAGCTAAAACATCTATTATAAAAGCATCCAAATGTGGATGGTAGGAAGTTATAAGTTCATTTTAAGCAAAATGAAAAGTTAGAAGTGCCTGAACTTCCTCATGTTACAGGAATGGGTCACAGTTGTAGGAGCAGTATTAACTCACCAGTAAGGGCAAACATTCATTGGGGAATGTTAAAAGGAGATTGCTGAATGAGTAGCAAAGTGCTACCATGAATTAAAAATAGTACAGTTCATTGGAAGGGAATGAGCTGAGCCATAGTAAGCTGAAGGGTACATGTAAGACAAAACCTTGTCTCTGTAAACTGAACAGAAATGCAAAAAATTCTTTAAGCCTGCAGCATTATAACATAGCAGCCCTACATGTACATGGGTTGACAAAAACAGATCAAAATAGGCACCCGCAAAACTCATTGCGATTGTTAAAAATGACAAAAAGAGAGTTATTTCGCATTTTCCATGTCTCTTCCTTACACACACACACACACACACACACACACACACACACAATGCCTTTGGTAGCTAAATGCAGTTCAAAGTTATCCTTCCCAGCTCCTTGATTCAAATACCTCCCATCATCAGATAAATTCCCATGGGGCACTCCAACAAATAACCCCCCAGGCCCTAAACAGAATTAATACGAAATCTTGAAGCTGCTAGATCTTGCTTTGGGTAACCCTGTCCTCTTTCAGGTTCCTGCTCCAAATTCCTTCCCCTTTCCCTTACACCATTTGCTCCTTTGGTGCCTTACTCACATATCCTATCACCCTGGGACTGTGCTTCCTGGCCTGGGCCCCTCAGCCACCCTCCACTGTAAACCACTGCCCAAGACTCCTATTCCCTCCCTTTGCCTGGCTTGTAGTAGGTTTTCAATGAATGATGCCTGATCAAATGCTCTGACTGACTGCGGGGCTGAGGCCAGCACAACTCAGCATGTGCCCGGATCATAGAGCACAGGGATTAAAGGACTCCATGAGATCCAAGGCCAAGGCTTGGCTCTGCTACTCCCCAAGCTGTGTGACCTTGGGCAAAGCGCAACCTCTCTGTGCCTCTTTTCTCCTCTAAAGCAGAGAGAACAATATTCCCTGCTTCACTCAGCACAGAGCCGAGCATAACAGGTGCCTAATGAATGTTAGCTGCTATTATTGCCTTCATTATTAGTCACACAGCTGGAATTTCTTGGAGGCAATATGTTGCCATCGACCTAAGTACATCGAAGCTATCAGAAAAAGAGGGATGCCCAGTGTCCTATGATGATCGTGCTATTTCTGTTACTTTCGGGTATTTTTAAAGAAAAAGCAGAACTTGACCTCACCAGTGCAAACACCCATGAACCTTGGAAGTTACAGGTGGTCCAGGACAACAAAAGTATGACTGAGACCCTCCTGGGTTGAGGAGGCTGGTGCAGGCTGTTCCAGACATGTCAGCTAGTGCATAATCACAACAGCCACATCCCTACGTCAGGCTCTGGCTTGGGCAGCTACCTGCTGTGTTGTTTTGAGAAAATGACTTCACCTCTCTGAGCTTCAGTTTCCTCATCAGTAGAATGAAAGTAATCTTAGCAGTTACCATTTCCGGATGGGGTGGCTATCATGATTAAATCAGGTCATCCAGGGAGAGTGCTTACCATAGAGGCAGGCCTGATGCTGATTCAGTTAGTATTGGCCACTGGTAAGAAGTGGGGGCTGCCTGAGCAGTGGGGCTGGTTTAGAAGTGTGAGGGTGGGGCACAGAGGTGAAACAGAGGCTGAGGTGGGGGTGGGAATGATTTGCTAGGCATCAGCTGACCTCTTTGAGATCAGTACAGTGTAGGCTGGCAACATGCGGCCTGATGGATTTCCTAGCAAGGGTCTCAGGAGCCACTGGCCTCACACTTACCTCCCTCTGCAGGCTCTGGTCAGACCTACCGACCCCAAACTGTCTTCCCTCCTCCTGGTTGGTGTGTGGCTGGGGCCCCTCTCCTTTCCAAGGAAAAGAGATCTGAGAACAATCTCTCATCCTTCACCATCTATTTCTTCTTCAACACTCAGGTCCCAGTGATCCACAGTTTGTGATCAATCAGTTTGTCCAGTTAGGTCTCAGTGACTCAGGGTGTCCTCTTCTCCACGACTCAGCCAGATGCCAGCCTGCCAAAACCAGAATCAGCCAGTAGGGAGGCTCAGAGGAAGAGCTCAAGAGTGTGTGAAAGGTGGATTCTGCTTGCCCCACTCCAGAGCCAGAAGTGACAAGTTTGGCTCTGTCTCTTGCTGTGACCTTTCCTCATTTATTTCTGCAGAACGTCAAGGACAGACTGCTTCCTGGTTTGTCACCTTAGGTTCCCTGAATGATAGATGTTCCCTTCCAAGAGAGAGCCTCACCTCAGAGGGGCTGCAGTTTTGCATAGGGCGGCCCCACTGTTGATACCAACAGAGGCCATGGTCCAGGCTCCTTAGCTGTTCAGAAGAGGGCTGGGCACTCAGGATCCTCAGAAGGGCACAGCAGGTCAGAGTCATTAGATCCCAGGGTAGCAGATGAAACCCCAAGTGGGAAAATGCCAAGCAGTAGATCATGGAAGGAGCAATTTCGGCCGCCTGTCCCCAGCGTGCTGATGAGTTCTGAATTATGCGTAACCTCTTGGGGGTAGACAGCTATGAATCACTGTGGACAGTTTAATGAAGACGCTTGCTCAATGCTTAGCTGCAGTCCAAACAGCAAATAAAAATATGAGGGCTCAGTGAGGCGGGAGTCAGGGCTACTCAGAGGGGCGGGGGACAGCAATGGTTTGGCCTCTCCTTAGAAGAGCTCAGCTTGATCACCTCGTTATACAAAGATCACAGTCAAAATGGAAACAATTTTAAAAGACAGAGATGGTGGCACTTGTTAGGATCATGAAAGATTTTTCAATGAAAGGCTTCACTCCTTCTAAATGAAGAGGCCTCCCTGCGTTCTTTTGCTGGAGTCAGTGTGGTCTGATTGGATGATTCTGGGTGAGGGTTGGTGCCCTCCTCTTGGCTTTTCCCCACCAGAAGGCACACAGGGGGAACAGTGTTTGATCTATTATATTTTTGTTGTTTTGTCAGCATGTAACAGTGTGCAGGGCATACAGCAAGCACTGAATAAACGGAATTGGTTGGAAAAAAATTTAATACATAAAAACTCCACGTGGCAATGGGTGGTCTTAATCTATAAACAAAGCTTTTTCAAAGCACATTTTTCCAGCAGAATTTAACCAGCTTTCACACCTGGGACATTGCCCTAACCTAATTCTCATTATGTCCTCAGTACTCATACGGTGTTTTATACATTGTAGGAGCATTTTTGAAATTGAGACTATTCTTCCTTTACATTATTTTAGATGTTCTCTATCACTCATCTAGTTGGACTTTTATATTGTGAAATTATCTTCAATTTTAATCACTGTCTGCAAAACGGAATGATCCAAAAATGAATTCCAAATAAAATAGTGCAGAAGAAAAATTCTGAATATAATCACATTGCTTAAAGATGCTTAAGGGTTTGTAAAATTATCCTACAATGCATCACAGTTGCCAGTTCTGGACAGTTATTGAAGATGTTTATTTTCAAACATTTTCCTGTTAACCATATTTCTGGCCATCCAAAATTGGTTTTAGGCAAATCACCTGGAGTTAGACCATGAGCTTTATCATTAGAGGACTGAGAATATACACTGAAGGCACACAGCAGTGTTGGAAAAAAAAGTTATTTGCCACCTTCAAAGAGTAAAGTAGCTCATGTTTACAAAATACTTTTTTTTGTATTAGGTCCTGATTTAAGTGCTGACATGTATTAATTTAGTTCAACCTCTCAACAGCATGTTAAGGTAATTGGCATAGTGACTTAACCAAGGTCCCAGCCAATAAATGGCAGAACCTGAATTACAAACCCAAGGAGGCTGACCCCAGAGCCCACTCTTTTTAAAATAATATTCTTATTGGCCAGGCATGGTGGCTCATATTTGGAATCCCAACATTTTGGGAGGCCAGTGCAGGAGGGTCACTTGAGATCAGGATCTTGAGACCAGCCTGGCCAACATGGTGA